ATCGTAGTGATCTGGTGTTGGAGGGTGTTCACGGGACATTGTTAGCAACTGTTAGTTCTTAAGCATACTACATGCATGAGTATACAAAATCAACAAACAAGCACCACAAACACACACCAAAGGTAGGCACATGAGGGGGGGGGGGTAGCATATATATATATATATATATGTAGGTATACTTTTTATTTTTATAGCAAACCCAGACCCTGAACGTTCGTGGAGCCTCAGCGGATGAAGGGCTAAACCTTCTGAGGGAAGGATTGCGCTGTAAGTCTCGGCAGTCTCAATCCAGGATTCGGGTTTTTAGGATTTTACCTATAGTCTCCATTGTAGTTCCTTTTTGGGGATGCCTTATAAAATCCTTAATATAAAATTGGTTAAACCAAAAAAAGGAACTACAATGGAGACTGCAGGTAGGGTTTAGGAGTTTAGAGTAGAATTATAGGCTTTAGAGGGGTTCAAGTTTAGGGCTTCAGAGTGGAGGGGCTGTAGGTGTCATGTAACGTCGGGGCCTTGATAATTAGAATAGGGTTTGGGGCTGCATAAATAGAATAAGGAACCCTTAAAAACCCTATTCTAATTATTACCCATAGGCCCCATAATAGTTCTTTTTGTGGCTTATATGTAGGATCCTATTAGGTAATCCCAGAAAGGAACTGCTATGGGGCCTATGGGTATACTATAATTATAATAAGGAACCCCCAAAATCCTATTCCAATTATATAAGGCCCCTACATTACATTCCATGGGCCTTTCAATCATTACGCGGCCCTATAAACTTAGAGTCGTCCTAAGTACCTATATCGTAGAATGTGTAGGGTTTCTAGAATAAGACTTGCTATTATGGTCTTGGGAAAGTATCCCCCCATAACAGTACCTCCATAAACCCTAAACCCTAAACCCCTAAACCCTAAACCCTAGACCCTGAGGATCCCTTAAAGGAAGCCTCTAAGGGATCCCTATTGAGCCCTTAAAGGAACCCCATAACAGGACCTAGGACGCTTTCCCTAAACCCTAAACCCTAAACCCTAAACCCCAAAACCCTAAACCCTAAACCCTAAACCCTAAATCCAAAAACCCTAAAACCTAAACCCTAAACCCTAAACCCCAAAACCCTAAACCCTAAACCCTAAACCCTAAACCCTAAACCCTAAACCCTAAACCCTAACCCTTTAAGACTAGGACGTTTGCCGAATCCGAGGTTCAAGGCCGAGGGTGCGGGGCCCAAGTCGCGGTGCCTTTTTAAGGGGGTTCCCTTAAACCAGGCTCCTCACGGGGTTTAGGGGTTTATAGGGTTTATAGAGTTTACAGGGTTTATAGGGCTTCTAGGGTTTATAGGGATTATAGGTCCGAAACTTAGTGGCTGAGTTGGTAACCTTTAACATTTTGGGGCTCTTATAATCCTACTATAATTCAAAAGGTTAACCTTTTTTTGGGCTAGGGTACTCAGCCCCTAAGTAAAGGGCTCCTTTGCGGCGTTTTGGGGGGGTTTAAGGTTTAGGGTTCGAGGATTAGGGCTTTACTTAGGGGTACTTAGAAATAATTTTTAATCTTTGGCTACTATAATCCCTAAGAAGCAGCTAAAATTATAATTTTTGCTAGGGGCCTAAGTTCAGTATAGTTTATAGGGTTTAAGGTTTAGGGTTAAGTTGAACGTTTAACGGTTTGGGGTTTATGGCTTAAAAGTTTAAGGCCTCGGGTTGCTTAAACGGTTCCTTTTAAAAGGGATAAGGGCTCTAAGGGATTTTATAGGGGTTCCTTTTTTCAGGGCTGGTTTAGAGGCTTCCGTCGCAGCCCCGGTTTAGGGTTTAGGGGTTTAAGGTTCAAGATTTAGGGAGGGCTGAGGGTTCCTAATTAGTGGTTCCTTTGATAGTTCCTTTCCGGATTCTCATTGTTTCAGGGTTCCTTGAAGGGTTCCTCTAAGGCAAGGGTTCTTATATGATTTCCTTTCCAAGGTTCATAGAGCTCCCTTTTTAAGTGGTTCCTTTGAGCGAGGGATCCCTGTAAGCGGTTCCCTTTTTGAAGAGTTCCTGTGAGGCAGGGTTTTTGTGAAGCTTCCCATTTTTTGCGGATGCTTTGAAGGGTTCCTTTGCGGCTTCTCCCTAAAGCCCTAAAGCCTAAGCCCTAAGCCATCCTAAACCCCTATAAACCCTGAACCCCAAAGCCCTGAGCCATTTAAACCCCTAACCAAAGCTCCGTTAAGGTTGACCTTCTCGCTCCCGCAAGTGAAGGTACTTTATGCGTATAAGAACCGGCAACAGCTCTTCAGGATTCTAGAAACCACTGGGACTAAAGGCACAACATTCTCCAAGATACTATAGTAGAAGCCGCAAAGTTGGAGCATGATCCTCCTCATGCCCTTGAGGTAAAGTATAAGGGATCCTAGCACTAGTTAATCCTCCTAAACCTATGTTCCAATTTTTGGGGTTTCTCCATCGTCTGCACGATGGGCATTTGTACTGCCTTTCGCTTTGAGCAGCAGAGCATGCAGCTCCTCGGACGCTGTGGGATGTGAGCCCCACGGAGCGGTTGACTGGCACTGTCCCACGCGTCGTGCGTTTGAAGACGCCGTCCCTTGTACTTGTTGACGGCCTTCTTGATGATCAAGGGAGTCGCGCCGGTACGGTTTTTTCTGAACAAGCGGATGTACGCTTCTTCGTGCACCAGCACTGGGATGCTCGAGAACGCGCACATGTGGTCGGCGTCCGCGACCTCATGAGCAGGTTATAGGGTCGAGAACGTAATCTTTGCCATGAACTATCCTCTGAAGCCGGAGGCGTGCAGTTTGTAGAGAGCCCTCAAAGCGCTGCAGTCTCTAGAAAGCCCTCACAAGCAGCAGATTCTAGAGCCGTGACAGCCCTACAGTTTCGAGAAAGCCCTCACGGCATGCTGTCTTGCTTCAGCAGAACATGTTGCCTTAGCAGCTCGGGTTGATTGGTTGTGGACGCTAGAAACCTGCTGACTCTTCCTGTGTTGCTTGCAGTTGCAATGCAATGCAACGCAACGCAACGCAACGCAACGCAACGCAACGCAACGCAACGCAACGCAACGCAACGCAACGCAACGCAACGCAACGCAATGCAATGCAATGCAATGCAAGAGGCCGTTGGCCGGCTAAATTCCCGACCCTGCTAGCTACCCGAGAAGATGGCTCGAAGCCGGCCTTAACTGGCCTCTGTGATTAAGGCCGATAGATTTATATGATTTGGGCATTTGGCTTCCGGTGGACCCCAAGGCCTAAGCCCAACATCTTAGTTCCAAAGCCCACCACTCGGCCTAAACCCCAAATCCGTAGTCGACCAAAAACCCAAACCCTTAATCAGCAGCCCAAATCCTATTCCTAAGCCCTAAACGACCCCAAACCCCAAGCCCGTCCGATTCCTACATCCTGTAGGCCCTAGACCCTAAGCCCAACACTCCCAAATCCTAAATCCTAAACCC